TTTAATCTTTAAAATAAATTTTTTTAAGTATTGAGAATTTTGACAATATACTTAATTTTGAACGCAAAATAAAATCTATTTAGCATGTCACATACTATAGTTATAATATTAAAGTATTAAAGTTTTAGTTAAGATAATCTTTTTCACACAAGCTTATCTTCAAATTTCTCAAAATTGTAACGTAATATAATATTTAAGAGGCTGGAATTATGTTTAATATAAAAAGAATTACGAAGAAAGATTAGCTTCTTCCTGAGTTTGAGAAAAGTTAGTTTTTGTTGAACTATAGTATTATAGACTTTCTCAGGATTTGTAGTCATTGTAAGCGAAACTTTTGCACGTCAAAGGGACTTTTATAGGAGTTATTGCGCTTCGAAAAGTTTACGTATTTAGTGTAATGTCAAATCGCGACAGTATTATAACAGTATCGTTAATACATATATTATACGAGAAAAAAATTATCACTATGTTATCGTTAATACGATTCAGTGATTTAAGGCCAATCGAATTATTCCATAGGTAATGTCAAGATTAAATTCTAATTAACGCTCTGTCGTCGAATAAAACATCAACATTATGATTCTTAGTTCCTACAAATATAAATATGTAAATACTTTTATCGCTTCTTTTTTCTTGTTTTGGTGATCGAGAACCGATTACTTTACCGGTTACAGTATTATTTAAAAATCATAACAATCTTTTGTTTTACGAATTCGCTACTCAAAAGCGATATACTAGCAGAATTTACGAGTTATTTATTGCTATGCATGTATGTTAAACAGATACTTATTCTTCTTTCGCTCTTCCAAAAATATACCATATTTTCGCAGAGTAAATTCTCGTTTTAGTATAAGCAATACGCAAGCATCAATTTCTTTTGATCAGCCAAGCGACAAACAAGAAAGGAACGATTGGAAAAGCTTGCTTTCCAGAATGATAAACAATACAATAATTGTAATCCTGTCCCTTTATTCAAATTCAATGAGTATGCGGTTTTTTTTATACCCTCCGTTTTCCCGTTGCGCTCAACAAAGATCATTTGTATGTATCTTGTTCCCACGGTATTTGAAATTCCAATCTAGAATTTAGTCATGCAAATGTAGAATCCACAATAATGCGATCTTCACTAATCGTCGGTTAACATCGTCGCACTGATCGTTGAATGATAGTAAACAATTAAAATTAATTATCGTCTAAGATGTGTGCAAATATGTGATTGTCGCAATGTTGCAAAATTAGCGATTGCGATAAATTATATAGCGTTTTCGTCAACTGTTTGCTCTACAGTGATACATTTGCACTCGAACGCATAATATGACGCAATCAGATAGATCATGCTAATTGCTAATTATTGTCATCAGTAATTATGTTTTATGAAATTATGTTTATGGAACTACGATATCAATGAAATGCTCAAAAGTGTTATTATTTTAATAATCTTAATCTTCGGCGTGTGTAAACTTTAATTAGACGATTTTGATCTCGGTCAAAGATAAGCAATTGCGAAATAATATTGAGTTCTTTAAATAGCAAAAATTATTGCTTACAATAATAATATTTCAAATATACCCTCTCAATCAAAACATTGTATATAATATAACTTGCCTTATTGTTATGTCTTATAGTATTAAAATGTTTTTTTTATCACTTAAGTGGGGAAACTGGCGGATAAAAGCCAAGGTGCGGATTGATGCGCGAATTAATCATTATTAAATTTAATTAACAATAAAATGTATTAATGTGTTATTAGGTCAATATATTGTAAACCACCGACGGACATACCACCGACATGTGGCGATGGCGTTTGGACGTTGTCCGCTAATGTGTACAGATTCTACGCGGGTTTTAATGAGCCTTCTTTTCTGATTATTAATTCTAATTTAAAATTTGACTGCAACAATAAATATTGTGTATGTCAAATTTCAAAATTTTAATTTAATTTTTACATATTTATATTCATGCTGAAGATGGACCAAAAAACGGTTCGAAACGTACATATTTAATGCACATTTGTTAATAAAATTTACAATAATATGCTCGCGCAATATCTGTGCCTTGGCTCTTATCTGCCAGTTCTTATCTGCCCATTTAATTGTTAGTACTCCGAGCCTATTGCTGTTATTATCGTTTTTTCATCACTTTTAAATATCGAATACAAGAATTATAACAATTGCTCATCTTTGCTATACCCCAATATTGCCATTAAAAAAACGTACATATTCATTATTTCGAATTTAAATGAAGAGTAAAACATTATCGCGTCATCGGCAAAAAATTGAATCAACATGTTCGAAATATTATATAATGAAAAATTCTTCGCAAGAGCAATTTCATGGGATATATATAAGTTTTTTTTACCGATACTTGACTCGTAAAGCGCAATTATTATTACATATTAGAAAGTAAAGTTTCTCTTGTTGGAGAAAAGAACTGAAACGATGCAATAATATTCTTTTGTTAAGTCATTTTCTCTATATCGATGTAACAGAGAGAGAGAGAGAGAGAGAGAGAGAGAGAGAAAGAATATATGTAAAGAAAATTTATTATTAATTTCTTTCAAAGATAATATGCAGTAGTTTTTAGTCTTTATTGATTCATCTCTCAAATTTTTTACGATGTCAATATTTTGTTTTCCATTTTACGCTAGAGAACACACACTACACAATATACTATTTTACGTTTGTATTAATTTTAAAATAATTCTTATATTATACGTTGACGTAACTATAATGTAATAGTTTCAAAAGAGACAAAAAAAAAAGCTAATAATAATTTGTTACAAAAATAATATTTAGTCTTTCGATTAATATAGATGTTTGTTTACAACAGACTATGATACGTTATTCGCTTTTCTTCTGTGATAAAAATTAAGAACTATCGGATTTTATAATTCGTTATTTGTATACGATTTGTAAATATACATGGTATCCCATGCAAATGGGCAAAACTATATTTTTAAAATGGTTGGATATAAAAAAATCATACAAAGCACAATTAAATATTTTAAAACTTTATACATTTCTATATTACTTTTATGCATGACTGCAGTTGCATATATTTTTTTAATAAAACACTACATTTTTTATACACTAATTGATGCAGTTTTTTAGTCTCTAAAAATACCCATTAAAATGTTATGCCTAAAAAATTGTTAATTTAGAAATTATATAAATTTTAAATTTGCGAAGTAGTATTTGACTCTATCAGCAGATTGACTTGTTCTTTTTATATCTGTTCTGTTTATATTTACTAACAACTATATATCATGTTTATAAACATCAATCACTTTCTATTTTCGCAGATATCTAATAAAAATGCATAAAGTAACATGAAAATGTGATGCGTCTAAAAACCATTTAATTTTATCTTATGATATTTTTTTCTATCTTTAATCGTTTTAAAAATACAGTTCTGCCTAGTTTTGCTTGCATGGAATATTGTGTGTGTGTGTGTGTGTGCGCGTGCGTGCGTGTGTGTTATTTCATAAGATAAATAATAATTATCAAAAAGACTAGCTGTGCAATAATTATATTAAAAAAATATTTTTTCCTGTTTTGGTAACATATTTAATAATTTTAAAATGCGTATTAACAATCAAATAAGACAGCGTAGTGATCGTATAAATTGTAGAAAATATAAGCTATAGATATAAATAATGTAAAAAGAAATTCACAAATTTCTTTCAACATTTTTTTTCTGTTATGTCGCAAGATAGTATAATATCAATTGTTATTGCGCGTGATATAATAATACACCATATCATTATAATTTTTATTTAATTTTCTACATTACTTGCTTCTCATTTTCAATTTTGTTTGGGAATGCTATCGCAGAAAGAGAAGCGATCGCTGAAAAATAAGATATTTCGAGTGTGACTGCTTAGATCTGAAAAATTATATTTAATGTTAAATTGACGATACATTTATAGAGAAAAATACCAATATCATCTCTGACAAGAATATATCAACGCCACGTTACAACAGACACTTTATATGCATAATAATAGAAAAATGGCGACTTCTTGTTCGTATTTTAAAAACTATGCCACTCACATTTTGACAAAGCATGTTGAATGTACTACAAGTTAATTGTAAATCAAGAAACATATATCTGCTAATTAAAAATATGAATCTTATATTTGTATATCTTTTATTACATCTAAATATTATTAATTAATTATTTTATTTTTATCACGTTATCACGATAAAACTGTGAACTATTGAATTCAAGTTTAATATTTTGTACGTGTCGCCAAACATTTTCTATTTACTTTTATTCTGTTTCCTTAAAATTTACAACTCGTTCGATAAAAGAAATTAACATCATTTTTATATGGTTAAAAAATATCTAATTTCCAGTGTTTTAATCTTGTCACATTATCTCAAGCTTCAACTGTAAATATTATTTTCTTGAGCTAATCGCGAGTTTAATTTTTTCATGCATTTTTTCAGAAATAGATGCATTATTAATATAATATGTTTTTGATATTATATAATATAAATTGATATAAATTGATTTAGTATTTTTTCTTAATTCTCTTTCTCTATTTATATTTATTTATACATAATTAGACATTTTTATATTATATTATATTGTTGCACTTCTTGTGTTTTGCCTCTGCGTGGAAGCTGTCTTTGGCGGTTATATTTGTTATCCGCTGTACCCATCTCCGAGGAATCGTTTCCGAGCATGTTGCTAAGGAAATCGTTGATCAACAAAGGTAAACAATTTGTGGAGAGTCGATATCTTGAATTTCGCGATTGTTGACATGCCCCGCACACACACACACACACACACACACATAGACGCATTTGTCCGACGGCTATTTATATTATAGCAATATTATATTATAACAATATTTCTCTGTTTGATATTCTGTGTTCTTGCATTATTCACTTTAGTTATTATTAAAATTACTGTGTTTTTTTTAAAGAGTATTATTATTTCGTGTGTGCGAGGGCAAATTGCGAGATTGATTGAGATCGACTCGCAAGCACAACATTTAAGATCATATTAAGATCACAAGATCATTAAAATTTAGTAATTGAAACTCTGGTGACCAAAGTATTTACTGCATCTAATAACTGCATCATATTTTGTGTGTTGTAGTAAATAATTTTTGAACGGTTATAGTGAATCCAAATAAAATTTAGCATAAATGTCAAAGTTAATATATATGGAAAATTTGATTTGGCTAGCAATGTTTTATCTTTATCAAATTTGTTAAGTGCCGCAATGCATCATTTTTCATAAAAACTAGTGCAATTGTAAAAGTTAAATAACTTTAATTCGATCAGATAATTATATTTAGGTTTTGAGCAAATATTTATAAGAAGTAATAAAATAAATTATAAATTTTTACTCTTTTTTTGCTAATGTTTTAATATGTGATATGATAAATACAATCTTAATCGAAACTTTATATTTCAATTACATATAGAAGCAATTATATAATTAAATATTTTTACTATAACTGATATTTGATGCACATACGTTATTAACATTTACAAATATATTTCAAAATACATATTTTGCAAAAATCGCGAACATGCAGAAAGTATGTGAAACAGATCCATAATTCTATAAATTGTTTCCTCTTTTTAGCCATGCAAAACTCATTCTACTTTGCAATATTGTACATCTATAATGAAAGAACAATAAATATATTACACCGATTTTTTTTACAGTAATAAAATTATGGTATTATCCTAATTCGTCTTTTTCTGTCAATTCTTACCAGGTGTTACAGACATTATCCAATCAATGAAAGCTCCTGTACGTGTTGAGATAGAAGGTTCGGTTGTACCACAACCAATACCAGTGGATGTAATACCAACTAATACAAGATTAAGTGTGGTGGGATTTTGCCATAAAACAGGTCCACCACTGTCCATCTATGGCAAAAGAAAAAAGGAATTGTATCTTTGAAATGATTTGTTCACTACGTTTCTTGAATAACACTACAGTTTTGAGCTCTTATATGATATAATCACTATCAATAAAAAAAATTATTTTTTTACCTGACAAGAATCCTTCCCTGGAGAATAAGTACACATATTTTTATCGGTTAGTTCAGGATAATAATATTGGCATTTTGTAGGACTTATTACATTTAATTTTACTTTTTGTAGCGTAGTCGATTTGGTGCCGCCAAATTCAAGTAAACCCCAGCCTAACGATTATATGAAATTAGAATAAATAATTATAATCAATAAGTAGAAAAATAATTAGAAAATACTAACCCAACACATCCACAATAGCACCTGCGAACGTGTCTCGTTTATGTTCAAATGGTAAGCAGACTGGGCCAACCTCAGCACTATATGTTATGCTACCAACAATCTTACAAACAGCTATATCATTGTGAATCTCTTTGTAATAAGGATGCATTGTGCATTTGCTCACGCGGAACAACTTAGTTGCATTGGTCTCCCTACCTATTCACAAAATGGTATTGTTCAAGATTAGGCTATTATTCCAGCGTTAGAAAAATTCAGAACTTTTTTGACGCATTCAAAAAAGCACTTCTTTGACGCTTTGGTTTTCCTTAGAATTATTACACAAAATTAATCGCCTAATTATATGTAGATATTACATATTGTTTTTCATTACTGGAAGCTATTCGTATTCGTAACATTGTTCTGTTATGCCATATTCGAGCATTGTGCAAAACTTTTTAAATAAAAAATGAAGTATATCACATTTGTAGAAAAAATATTTCGTAATAAAAAATAAATATAATATCTTCTTGTATAAATAAGTCATTTCTTTATTTCTTTTTATAAACATTGAATTAAATATTTAAAAATGTTTTATTTTGTTAATAATAAGTTATAACTTTCTCAAATAAATTTGTATTGTAGAAACAGAAAGTAAAAATTACAAGATTTTAATGTGATATTATTGCAATCATAAACATTTGCTTAAAATTTTTTTGTCATTTTAAGCATTAATTAGAAATTTTAATAATTACCTGTGGTTATATCGTGTTCACCAACAATAATGCCAATCGTATTGATATTTCTATCTTCTATACAATGAGCTGCTGTCAGTATATATTGTTGAGATATTATAGTACAACCACAATATATCAATTTATTAGTACTATCGACGAGTCCACACATCATAGGATATTCATTTATCCCAGTTTCTGTACCACCTACTATTCTAGTCTAAACAAACAACATAAGTTATAGTTAATACTTTATTTTAAATGCCTGGTCAAATAAAAATAATTTTAATAAATAGTTATATACTAAATCATAAACTATAAAAAGCTAATAATAAATTAATAATAACAAACCTATTAATAAATAGCATTTTACGAGATATAATTTATACTTACTACTTTTTTCCAACCACATTTGCAATTATTTTTATCAAACGGATTCTCTGCTTGAATTTGGCATAAAAATTGACCTCCTTGCGAATAATAGGGTGAATCTAATTTTATAATCGGATTTTTTCCTTCAAGAATGAGTTGACCTAAACCACAGTATTTCTGCATACTTTTTCCAGCAATTTGGACAGAAAGAGTATCTTGAGTACAACCATTCTAATAAAATAAAATAATAATACATAAAATAATATAGTAAAATATAGATAAAATATTTTTTATAATAAAAATTTTATTAAAATATTAATCTTTATAACGAATCTCTTTTCAGTGTGCTGATAGTTTTAAAAATATTTTTAATTTAAAACAGAAAATAAAATTTGTGTAACACATCACATATATACTGTAGCTATATATATACTACAATATAGTAAAATAACCGCTTTTATATGTATACTTTACAAATTTTTTTAATTTGTGACATCAATAAAAGCATTTTTGAGATCAAAATTATATTACATTGCAAAAAACTATAAAATAAATATTTTTTTTCTTTAATTTTTTCTTATTAAATTGTGTTAAGCTTGAAAATACCCAGTTACCGCTAAGTTTATGCATAAATCTTGAACAAAATGTTTATCTATAAACTTACGACAGACGCTGGCATATCAACACTGCAATTTATTTTGACATTAAAACGACTTTCCATTTGCCATGTGCAATTATTTTCACCTTTATACTTATAGGGAAAACCAGGATTATACACATAATATGTTTGTCCAGCTTCTAACTTTTGAAAGTAATTGCAGGCAGATTCAATCCCATTTAGCATCGAGAGCGGCAGCAGAAAGCCAAATAAAACCTTGACTAATTATAAAATAATTGGAGTAGCTTTTTCAATATACTATTTGAACAATATCTGCGTAAAAGTTTCGTATGCTACTTAATATACATTGATATTTTAACCGAGAGATAATTTTTCTAAATTTCCAAGTTTTGTTTAAATCTATTTAAAAGTTTACTTACGAAACTACAAAAAAAAAAAATTAAATTTGCTTAGTTACTAATATCTACTTGTACAGTTTTTTCTGTAATTTCTTTGATTTAATTATTTCGAGATATATATTTACATTTTCTTATAGATACAGTTTGTAATACCTGCTTGCATGGTACATCTGTTAGAATATTCTGGCACCTTAAGAAGGTAACTTTCTTCTGACAAGCAGCCACGCGCTATATCGTAGAAATGTCTGCTTTTATTCCAACACGAAGATAAAATACATCCAAAACTGATATCTCAGGTACCTTATCTTACAGTTAATTACAGTTTGCGAGCAGATTTACTGCAAAGGCAAATAATTTCAAAATGGCATTAATGTAATCTTAAATTCGATAAGATATGTATTAAAAATATTTTAAATACATAATGTTTTTTAGACGTTATTAAAAAAAATATATAAAACATAATGTTTGCATAAGATGTTATTAAATTAGTGCTGTATTACTGAAATTGTAGACATATACTTCGTGTGATAATTGCCACTTTTTCATTATATATGAACTAAAAGCTTTAAGGAAAAACATGAATTTAATATCTCATTATTTATTCAATTTGAAATAAGCTTTAACTGAAGTTTAATATAAAATTTAATTATTAACATATATAATGTGTTGGCAAAAAACCGTAGCAATAATAAAATAAAACAAAATTTTTTAAAACAAAAAAAAATAAATTTTAATTTAATATAAATTTTATGTCTACAAAATTAGTTCGCTAATTTATTGGATGACAATATTCTTTATAACAAGAATTTTTTTTTAAATATTTTCTTGTTTTTATAAAATAGAATTTATTTAATTAATATTAAAATGAATTGCTGTGCATTGAAACACATTAAAAAGTCAATAATGACAGCTTATGACAATAATGATATCTTATCTTGCAGATGCGGCATAAAAGTAGAACATATGCTTTTCGCATATGATAAAAATGATGAAGTAATAAATAAAAATATTCTATTTTTCTTATATATAAAGACAAGAATAAATTTAACCAGTATAGGCCAAAATCATGCGCCACTTGCTACAATAATGTTATTTCTTTATTGTTGATATATGTATAGTTGTAAAATGCACCATTACACAAATCGTAAGATCAAAAAAACTAAAATAATGAAAAATCGTGATTTAGCAATCGTTTAATTAAATAATAATCAATTTATCACATTTAGAAAAATTTAAAGCATCGATCGATATATGTATATATTTAGGTAGTATAATTATTACCTGTAAGCATTGATGTTCGAAGGATTGTAATGAAACAATAATTTATAATTTTTATCATAATCGCTTCGATTTTTACTTGAAATAATGAATGATCGCGCTTTTTGATAAAGATTTCTTTTCGGGATATAGTTTCGTCTCATTTATCAAAAGTTAATTATATGTTAATTATAATAATTCTAGTAAATTATATTTCGATACTCGTCGGAATCACATTTAGAAAAAGAATTTGACAATATATGTTTCGCATAATTATTTTACTGCTGGAATGTCGTCGCCGTGCAAATGGTAACGACAAGTAATACGTAAACAATAAGAGCGCTATACGCAGCCAAAGCCGAATGTTATTGAAAATTCGTTGCCGAAATATTTTACATACTATGACACACATGTGTATAGCGCGCTAATGTTTACGTGCCACGGGCCGTGGCCCACGGCTGTTATCATTCGCGCGACGACACTCGAACAGAAAAATAGTGGCGCGAGACATTCCGTCGAATTTCTTTTTAAACGCGATCGCAACCAGTATCGGGACATTATTTGTTATAATAATATAATTAATGATTAGTTAACATTTAGAAATAATATGTAACATACATATATCGCGATGATAATTCTCAAAGCCCATTTTTTTTGCGTAATTTATTCATTTAATCAAGTAAGACTCGAAGTGACAAGAAAATTATAAATTATCGTTTTGTTGCAATCTCTCTCCTCTCTCTCTCTCTCTCTCTCTCTCTCTCTCTTTACGGACAATCATTATTTCTTTAATAATACATAGAATCAAATATATTTTGTCTGCGATGCCTTATCATCCTACTTTTCGATGATTTAATATAATTTAAATTAAAAACATACAGTGAGACCATCAAAACGCCAGAGTAATTAGCATAACAAAAAATTCCGAAATTGTTTAATGAATAATTAATCTATAATTTAAAATACTTTTATAATTTAGTATTCCGCGTATTTATTTCCTATACAATATTATTTGATTTTTTATTTTTCTAGATATTTGTCAAGCTTATTCCTGAAATATAAAAAACCAGTGTAATATTTAAACACCACATAAAATCGAGCATTCTGTATTTAAAAGTGCAGATAATAATTTTATTTTCTACGTGACTTACGAAACAGATTTCTTTTTTAATACGAACATAAACATTTTATACCGTACCATACCGTATTTTATATTCAATAATTCCTAATATCCTCTATGTGTCTTTGATATTAGTGGATAATATTAAAAGACAAGTTTTATCTTAAATCTTAAAATAATGTTTAAATAAGGTTAAATAAAGTCACATAATAAAGTTTAGAATTTTCCGGATTATGTTTATATTTTCATGATTTTTGTATAAATTGAAATACCATGATCAAAATAAAATTTTGATTACTTACAAGAAGAACGTCTCAACCTGGGACTCAAATTTATCACATTACCATTACTTTTCAGTAAAAATTATGATAATTATGTCAAATAAAATTTTTTCATATAAATATTAATAATTATCAGTTTTTATAAAAAATTGTTGCGTCTTAAAACATATTACCAATATAAATAATGATTTATATATTATACTAAAATATAATGTATCAAGATTTGCAATTAAAAGAGATTAATAAGCGATTGATATAAATTATATAATATATTTGTATTGGTTACTGCATGATATTGATATTTATTAATACAAGATTTTTATTTAATATAACAGAGTTATAACAGAAGGATGATTATTCATATTATATTTTACATAATTCCGATACAAAAGGTATTATTTCGTGTAATTCTCCACAATATCGAATGACATATTATCATATCATTACAAAATACTTGTTTTAATTAAAATATCTGCTGATTAAATAGTATTATTAATACTATTTGATAGGCACCATTATAATACTTCCCAGTAAATTAAATCGATAAGTTTGTAACATACTTCCCACACCAGCGCTAAGGCATCCGTATTCTGAAATATAAAAAAGTAATTAATATTTAATTCCTAACTTTTCGATGTACATTTTTATATTTTACAAACTAAAGAAAAATATTTTGTTACGCATTATGATTTATATAAAACACTTTTTTATAAGACCTTATATTTTTTAGATATAAACAATTATATCTAATTTATAACATATAAATAACATAATAAATAATTTTCTTTTCATATATTTTTTAGAAATCATTCTACAGAGAAATAGAAACATATTGTAAGCATAGGTTTTATAAATATAACATTATAGATTATATGACTATCTGGTTTTAAACAATTTGAAATAATTAATAATGAAAATAATAATGCGCAATTCGTATATTAAAAAATTCATCAAACATTGACGACTAATACTATCTTTAAAGTGTATGAAAATATAAATGGAAAGATGCAAGTTTTATTATACACATACACACAACACACCAAAAGTTTTCATACCAAGTCTTCCTGATGTTCGGCTATTTTCTCGGCGGTTTCAGTATACTGTTTAATTTCTTTTTGATCCACAGCACTTTGACTTGTTTCTTCAGCCATACTAGAGATTATGACAATCGAAACAATTAACAAAGTTAGGTATATCACCTTCATTGTTGCAAACTTATAATAAAATATCCAAGGTTTAAACTTGACATCTTTATGTGATGCCTCTATTTATACTATAAAAATCGTGGTCAAGATACTATAAACATTATCTAATCTACAAAATTCTGAAGTTTATTAGGACTTTATATAATTTTATTTGAATATTTTTTTTTTAAGATTTAAGATAAAGCATTGTTTTAGTATTACCTTAGTAATAGCAAACAGTATCGTTGATCATAAAATTGTTCAAAGGAAATAAATACGCGGATATTTTATGTATTTAGATATTCACGTATATCTACGATGTAAAACACGTTCCCACTATTTAAACTGCGCACAGTTAAATGACGCATTAAAGTGTATCAAAAGAATTATTTTACTGAATCAAAGAGAAATGAAATGTCAGTCAATTATTTCTTAGAATTTTAGTCTTTAGACATTTATAACAAATTGTCTCTATTGATGATACGAACAACACGTAATATTATCACTAAACTTAATAATTGTTACAATAATTAAAGATGCTACCGTGCCAGTAAATATGATTCTTACTAAATAAAATTCGAGGTAAATATTGATAAAAAAGGACCAAATTTCGATGACTTTAGCTTTGACATATATTGTCATGATACTGAGTAATATTTGATTAAAAAGATTTTAGCCGTTGTCCGTTGTTCATCAAAAAGTTATTAACAAATAAAGTTTTATGCAAAGTAAAAGTCGAATGTAAACTGGCAACAAAAAATTCGATATTGTATTCTATTTATATGGATATCACTATCTATACTACACGTACACACAGACAAACATATAGAACATTATATAAAATGTTAAAATATTAAAGATTTCAAAATAAATCATGATCTCTAAACAATTACCTACTTGAAATAATATTGTCAGTGATTTATCGCCATTTTTAGCTTTTATAAATTAAATTAAATAAAAGGGCATTTTCTCATATATCGAAGTTTGGTCGTCACCCTTGAATCCCTTTAAAGACTGCCACGTATGTACAAATTTTTGCGACTATCAAGGGAGAGCTTGGTTGATCAAGAGACAATTTAAGAGTGATGACATTATCAATCATTATGACTGCGTCTAAATAACGTAACGAGTTATTTTAATCATACAATTATGTTAATTTATCCAACCACTTATTCTTAAAAATATACAGATATTTTATGTAATTGTTCTAAAATTAACAAACACAATGAATATTTTATTCCACTAAATCACTATTTATTATCGACAATGCAAAGATCTACCTACCTAGCAGCGCGCAACAAATTTTTTCAGTCACGCTAACTCTCGTAAGATTAGCTATATCATTATTTAATAATAGTACCTCATCGATGTGTTAATAGTAAATTTGTCGATGTCTAAAATGATAATATTGGTAATATCGCTAACATATCATACTTGGTTGTATTAAAATGAAGATTTATACCTAAAATTTGCTATAAGAGAAAACTTTTTTTTCTGCTGCTATCACTTCCGAATACAAAATTTATAGCGGATGTCATTTATTTAATATTGTGTTATTACGTCTAATCATATTGCTATGTTTGTAACTATAAATATCGGTTATTTATTACCGGCTATTTGTAGTTTAAAACTATTGATATTTTTCTAATGCAAAAGTCAATAAATGATTCGAGAAATATTTGAATGTGTGCGTGCGTGCGTGCGTATGTGTGTGTAAAGAGTTATCTTTTTTGTTGTAAAAATATATCCATTGAAAGAGAGAAAGAGAGGAAAAGAGAGAGAGAAAGAGAAAGGAAGAGTATTAAATGCATATTATTGAATAAAAAGATATTTCTCGCTAAGCGCATTTTCTTAAAACTGCAAAATATTTAAACTTAAATTTAAAATATTTAATTTTGAGTAAATATTTCCATATAATAATAATTTAATGACAAAAAATATAATTAATCATATAATTTTATAATTTTAAATTTTATACATTTTTATAACAAAGCATTTTTCAAATTGTATATGTGCATAACATCCTATCACAAAATAAAGATTCTATCTAATCTAAATTTAAAAATATAATTTTATTATTTATTTGTTTCTTTGACGCTTAATTTTAAATGCTTCTTATTTTCAATTACTTACAATTTAAAAGAGATTTTATAAATGTGTCTCAATTAATTTTTATGTTAAAGAAAAAATTGATTTAAAATTAGCCAAAGAATTTACAACATTTCAAAAGAAAAGTGCTTAATAAAAGATGCTCTTATGCATATGGTACACATACATAACTTGCCGTATATTTTCTTTTAGCTTTTGATATTCAAATTTCGAGGAGTACAGATTCCACTGCATATTGTGTATATGTGTGTGAATCAAGATAATCTTTGTATATATTTATATCAGAATTAAAGCGCTAAAATTTTGGTGAAAATATATAGCATCGGAAAATGACTTAAAATATGCTAGCATTAATCTCATTAATATTTTGAACTATTTCATTGATGTTTTACCTTGAAATTGCGTTTTGATCTTAATAGCTCGCTCGATCGGCAAAGTGAACAGGTCGATGCGCGGTTATACGTCAGGGCAGCTAAAGAAAATAAGATGGAGAGAGAGTTTGAAAGTAGGTCTTAGCCGTTCAGTCAGTTGTCGACTACGTGTCCGGACGATTGGTTAGCATAATGGTGAGTTTTCGAGCATGGTCAAGTGAATGATGCATTTTCTATCATTGGAAAAACATGAAATATTGTCAATTTTTGTGCACAATTAAACATGTTGGTGCTTTGATATTTGTGCGATGGCAAATGCATCGATTGCAAAGACTAGAAAAAGTGATTTATACTGTGATAAATCAATCTAAAATTAAAATTAAAAAGACAATTTTTCAAGCGTGAAGTAAAAATAAACGTTTTTCATTGACACTTCATAACTTTATATCAGCAATGTTTCAACATGGCAAATACTAGTTGTGTGCGTTAAACATGATAACATTTAATTCAAAAATATTTAGATATTTGAAGAATGTGCTGCGAATATAATTGTTGCAAAATTATGTATTTTTGTAAATAATTATTATATTTGTACGATGATTGCTAAGAGTATCGCGCTATATTTATATTCGAGTTTAATGTTCTTGTATGAAAATGATCATAAAACAGTTAGTACAACATTGTTACAAATGCTACTTAAATACAATTTAAGTGTTATTTAAATTACCATTAAATTATTAATACTGGTATATACAAAATTTAATAATTAGCTCATAAATTATTGTTGAATAAATATTATGTCAATTTTTATTTTTCGATCGTAAACCATATTATTCTTTGAGAATCGGTATGTTATATGGCTTTTTTATTCAATACTTTCTTAATTTATATATATACACGCGTATACATATATAATAAGAATGAAAATACACATTAATCATTAATTGTATTCGATCTGCATTTTGCATCTATATTGGTAAACATTATAATCTTTTGCAACAACAACCGGAGATGAATATTTTTTAACATTGCATGACATCAGATTGTGAAAGTTGTTCTTTCCGGTGTCGTTTTTTCTGTACGCTCGTCAAGCAAATTTTTTTACATATATGTATTCGTGATCGTTATATTTCTCAAGCGTTCTTTGCGCTTCATTCAAAGTTGGAAAATATAACCGCAAAATAACGAAAATATTTACGATGGAAAAGCCAATCATCAACAAGCTTGTGAAGATTACTTTCCTATTGCAAGTATTTTCATTTTGAAGACATATTTTTCCGCTTCGGATCATTCACCGTAACGATTGCGATTTCCTGTTGCGATATCACGAGTCGACATACTATAATTATGGCAAATGGAAATTGTATCCAATAGCAATAACTAATAATATGGTAAAATACAAAACCAAAGAATTTAGTTGTCTTTCTGTTATTATCGATTAGACGGAAATTAGTTTTATCTTCAAGAGCTTATTGCTCGCATGTCTCATGACACAAATTACGTATTATTTTTTCTTTTCTGTTACATGAAATAAGTATTATTATAATATTGTGAAATAATTGTTTGTTAGAAAAGAAGCATGCTATATAACGTAAACGTATTACAATTTGCATAATTAAATAAATGCGTGAGCGGTGTAAATGCTTTATTCCTCGCCCTGCATCAATACCCTAAAAATATTATAACCGAACCCAAACCTAATTTTAATTTCAAATAAAAAATTTTGAATTTTGAATAAAAGATAGATTCAGATACGAAAGAATATATATTTTAAGACGTTCTACAATACTCGGGGTCTTAGCCATATATCTTTAACTTTAACTAAAATGTCTCAGGAATTATAAAAGAGCACCGTTTAATTTCAAGCGCATATTACTCGAGAATAAACGCTTTACAATATATGTTAAAATTAAGGTAATCCTCGTGCTGTGTAAATTATTGTAAAAATTTACCGAAATTATTTTTTTTTAAATCCTTTTTTTCAATTTTTTAATAATTAATATTAAGTATTTTATTAAAATATATCATATTCAGTCAGTTAATGTTATGGTACTTATTGCGAAAAGTTCACACTTGACTGATCACTTTGATTTTCACGTGCATTATACTTAATAGAATCCTAAATCACATGCACTTTGAAAAACTAAATATAATCAGGAGTAAAAAATGTGATACTTTAAAATGTTATATCTCAGAAACTAAAAGAGCAACGTGATTCAAAGTGTACCTGATTCAGCATTCTATTGATTATAAAATTTAATCCATGATAAATGCTTTATACCTATTTGTATACTCAATACTTGAAAAAATCAACATAAGTCAATTTAAAAATTTCTGTAGATATATTTCACGAATGCAAATTTGATTATTTCATACATCTGACAAAATATAAACTATATGTACGCATCACGAGTATTATAGATGTTAGAATAAAAGGATAGAGACTGTGAAAGTTAGTCAACTGTGCTCTTTGACATCAGCAATCTAGCTAAGACTCATTTTGCAACTTTTGCTCATGAATATGAGAAATATAACTGACATATATCTTTGAATCGTTCTTCTTTGGCTTAATTGCGTAATCGTTGCTTATGTATTATTAAAGCGATTCCATCTAGTAAATTAATATGTATAAGATGATCTCTCATATCTAGGACATCTACGTAAGTATATGCGAATATAAATAATCTCGAAGAAAAGATATATTAAGATTGAATGAAAATTACTTTTCTTATCGCGCGTGCTAACATTATTCAATATTATATTATAAATCTTATATAAAATATGTACACATTAATTTTTTATTAATCTATATTACATTTAACAAGAAATTAGGAAGATTATTGCTAAAACAACACTGCTTAATTTGAGTTATTTAAGATTATTACTGCTTATTTAAGGGATTAAATTTTATTTTAAAATTTTATCTTTTTTCTAATATAAAGGTATATTTATTTTACGATGAATGAAATTAAATATCTAATAATTTTAACATGTAAAATATAAATTTTAAATAATTTATGTAATTATAAAAGAGCTACAGTAAAATGTAGATAAAGTAAAAAAAAATCTAAATTAAATTATCACACACAAATGCTTTTACTATAAAATATTTTATAATTGACAAGATTAATATAATTAATTTTGTTAATACAGTTTTTATTTTTTTGTACAATTTGATATACTTCTCCTCGTTTTCTATTGCCCTTAAAATTCTTTTGAAGAATTTCTGATTACATCGATCTTTTTCCTTCTTCCTCAATTTACCTTCCTCAATTTCAAAAATGTTAAACAAAAATGACAAAAAAACTAACAACTTTATATATGTATTTAATATATTCTAATTAATTGTAAATCTCATATATGGGCTTCCCTTTACAAGAAAAAATTATGCTTTAAAAATTGAGTAAAAATTTTATTGTAATGGTAAAATATATTTATGTACACAATTGACATATACAAAAAATTTAGAAATATTGCAAAGTTAGTCATGCGTTATATGTATAGAAGATTATTGGATTAGCTAGTATTTGGTTTTGAGTTTATAATGTAACTTACTTTTCCTTATTTGTTGCATAATCCAAATAATAATTTTTTTTTAGATTGCGTTATTATGCATGCTGATCGTCTTTGGTTTAACTCATGGTGATGATCTCCCATCAAGAATCGAAGTCGAGAATTCGATCAATCGAACAATTAACGAAGTCGAGAGATTGATTCGTCAGAACTCATCTTTGCCGCAACTCACTAGGCGTGAGATCGTCGATATTCTTTTAAACGTTATAACATCCAAAAATCTAAAGACATTCGAGAACAAAGAGACAATCGAGAAAGCAAGAAAGATTTATGAAAGAGCGTTAATGGTAGTTTTACCGTACAATGCACAAGATGCAAAAGAAAATATAAATGATTTATATACCAAGCCACCGATAGTTCAAATAATCTCAGACACTTCTTCTAATTCGAAAGATTTCAATGTGTGGAAAAACGAAAAAATACAATCTAGCACACCCACGCAGGAAATACAAGACGATAAAGAATCTCTTGAAAATTTGGTAGTGATACATGCCTCGGAGAAAGAAAATCCACCCGAGAAAACGCAATATAAGAATCACAGAGAAACATATTCGGAAGCGCATACAAAAATGCCGTTGACGGAAACTTTGAAATTTGAATCGGCACCAATCAAATTTAGCTTTAACTTGGATAATCTGCAAAAGCAACCAGCGATCACCGAAACCTCTAGCACTAGACGACCAGTGTTTAAGGAAGAATCTTCAACCAAGAATGAAGAAGTCTATATAGTATATAGTACAACTGCAACAACGATGCGACCAATGGAGATGAGTCCTAAGAAAGAAAATGTTTTGACAACATCTCGTCCTTTGAAGTACAATGAAAATGTTCTATCTGTTGATCAATGGCGTTATAACGCACCAACAAGTACTATACAAAGTCTTACGACATCAACGAAAGCTTTAGATTCGTCTTTTAAGATATCATTGGAAGACGTGGCACCAACTGTAATTAGTAAAATTGAAAACACTCCAGAGATTTCAAAGATACCTTTCAAAAAAATACAAATGGCTAAGCAATCAACTTCTATCTATGTAACACCAACATCCTCTTCTTCTTCTTCTTTCGAAGAATTAAAATACAATTCTACTTATAATTCAAAATCTGGAGGATTTCATAAAATCACAACGACAACGACGATGCGGCCAGAGGTCATGGACTTGCTTGCTTCAATTGGACTTCGGCCGGAAAATTCTACGAATGTAGAGGAAGTGTTCAAAAAAAATGAAGAAAGTTTAAAAAACAAAACAGAGATTCCCAATAGCAACGGTTTTGTTTATAAAACAACTTCCGGCCTGACGGCCGTTGAACCCGATTTACCATCGATAAGCGCTCAAAACACTTTTGAAAATCCTGTTCTAGAGATTGGAAAAGGAATGAATAATCTAACGCCAGATATACAGCTACTCTTTCAGCGATTTGGTTTGCAGACGTCCAATCTAATAACAACTACAACGACTACGCTCAGGCCAACCATGAATACAAATTCTTATACCAACTTCAAACCTTTGCCGACGTCTAAGATAAAAAACGAAGATATGAAAGAGTTTTTGGCACAGTTCGGTCTTGGAATCAGTGATAATAGGCAGAAAAAATCTATGCCGGCATCAACGGAACGACCATCGTTGATTGAAGCTGTTCCAGATAACATGAGACAAATTTTGGAGAACATAGGCCTCATCTCTCGCAAGGTATCGAAAACAAAAATAGAGGATACTAAAAATGTACCAAAAGTGCAGGATATAGAACCGAAAAACACAAACAAATTTCACGTGTTTAAACCTCACGAGGTCCAAGTGAAGGATGAGAGACAGAGGATGAAAATCAACGAGCTATTGGACATTGTCAACAAATTGATTCAAGAGGGGAAGACAAGTACGGAGAATGTGCAAAAAGCAGCCAACGACTTACTAGTAAACACAAAAACTCTAAAGGATGGTCCAGATCCGTTACATATAGAAGAGATTATTAGAATCTATAATGAAGATTTAAAGAATGAAGTGAAAAGACAAAACTCGGAAGAAACTGTTGAAACAATCACTGTTAGCAATGAAGATCTCACGAAGACCACGACAACAACTACCGGTATAAAAAGATTTATGATATCCGTTTTGAGCACTTCAGAATCTTGGGTTAAACGGATTATTCAGGGTCTGACAAGGATCAGGCGCATGTTAATTAATATGGGGGATATGTTTAGACAACCTTCCGATTAAATAGACTTATTCTGGAAGATTGCTATTTATATAGTTTGCTACATCTCTCTCAGCATGATCTTCTTTGGCTACAACTTCTTTCGCTTCTATTTCAATTTTCGCTTTATATCTTATTTATAAGTGCTTGAATCTAACTCTATATTACGAGGAAAAAATCGTACAGATTGATAGCAGAAATATTAATAATATTAAAATGATATAAATTAATTGAATATTTAATATGAATTAATGATATAAATTAATTAAATATTTAATATATTTTTACATAATTTGGATGCCATAGAAGATACGAAGTGGATTAGTAACGTTATGTACTTTAAGTTATTATTAGCTGTACAATAATTAGAGTTATTTAATTGCTCGGTTTATTCCATTATTTATATATTTTAAAGTGACAAAAAATTAGCAATCTTAATGATACAATAGATTTTGATAATATAATATATACTTTTAAAACACGAAATTTAACCGTATATAAAAAGAATTGTAAATTAATTTGTAAAATTTCGAACAAATCCTTCATGTTGTGCTTTACTTTTATTGAATAATAAGTAGAGTTTATTCAAGTAGTCGAAATCAAATTATAAATATGGTGTCCTTATAATAAAATAAGGACTAAATAAAATGATATACTATAACGTAACGCCAGATAAATTTTGATTTGTTTTGGCATGCAATATTTCTCTAAACGATGATTTTCACACGTTTTTTGCACGCCAACTTTTTCTTATGCGCATATATGTACATATATTACTATCAGCAAAGTATGCAACTTTCATCTTACATTTCTTGCCCTCGAAATAATGTGTGTTATAAATGTTATTGCACGTGCTGGATACATGTGATTATACACGAATCGGTTCGTAATTCGGATGATCTTATCATCAGTACTATTCATGATCAATAATTAAACAAAAGTCTTAATTTATTTTATTCTCGAAATACACACCTACATGTGCACACAATTTCTTTTTTAGAAACATCGATGCAATAAATGTGGAGAAACCACAGTAAAAAGTTCTCATATCTCAATCGTAAAAATCGAAAGTTCCATGTCACTTTCTTGAAATCTTTTATTGTTTGCAATTTTTAATTATAATTTGATAATTATACATTTTATGCAAAATTTTCTTTTAAACTACACATCATATAAAATATACTTTATAAAAAAGAAAGAAATCCTATTTTATTTGGAGTCTTTCATAAATTGATAGCATATAATCAATTGGAAAAAACTATTTAAATAGTTACATTGATATCATATTTGTTTTAAAGAATTACTTTTTTAACAGTAGTTTAATAATTTTAATTTATAAATTTCTCTATTTATTGCATATATAAATATGAATTCTTCCTTATGTATGTACTCGGCGCATGTGTTTTTATCTTTTTAAAAGCTTGTTTAGATAATCTATAATTTGCGATAAAATTCAAGATAAAACTTACGATGTGTCATGCACAGATTTCTATATGTTATATTTAGAAAGATTTCTTTAAGAATGCTATTACTAATGTTTTCTACAAATATTCTTATCAATATTTTATGCTTTTAGCATCGTCAATTTTTTTTTAAATTATGCTTGTATTTCTCAGATTTATATTGACAGTCACAAGATTTATGTGCTTTTAATTGTTCTTCATATATTTATTATGTAGCATGCCAAAATCACTTGCAACATAAAATGTGCAAAATGTCAAACAGCAATTTATCACGGATCTTGTCGGCAGAATCTATAGATGTTTCCTCAACGACCTCAACGACGATGACCACGCCAATAACGTCGATAGTTCCAGATTCCGCGAAAAATGGCTCAGCTTTTCTGGATACATTAGTATCACCCGTTCCAATGTCATCGACACCTACAAATGCAAATCTTCTGGCATTAGAGGAATCTTTTGGTGGTACCACCCGTGCACCAGATCCTGTTTTACCAACTAAGCGAAGAAGCGGTCTATATTTTCTTGTAGACTGGAATACGTTTCTCGAAGTTGGTGATGAGGACAGCGAAAAAGTGAACCTAAGATTCCAACCGAAAGTTGGCGATAGGACAAGATTTTTGCCAGTTACAATACCGTAGTTTATAAAGAACAATTTTATTACAAATACTGTTTCCCATGTAAATGTTAATTTAATCCTCAGATTCTAATATTTGTACTCATATTTTAGAAGCTTAAAATATTTAATATATGTATATATATTCTATTTTTTTGTTATATAATATTTGATACTTAATATAATTCATCAACACTTTTCAATATTTAATATATTTTGTGTATTGTTAAAAAAATTAAGCTTATATTTTCCTATATTGGCTCATTTGATGTTTCTTTTGCTCTCTCTCTTTTACTAAAATTATTATACCTTAAGAATTATATACTTTGTTAACACTTTTTTTATCTTATTTTAATCTTATAATTCGATTTGTATTCGATTTAATTACAAATAAATCGGCCGAAACATCATATGACAATATATGATACGGTTATCAGAGAGCAGAAGAATTTAGAAAAATCATTTATAGTTCTATACAAGAATGTATTCATTTTATTTAAATTCTTTGTATATACAACATACATAAGATTGTAAAAAAAATGGTAAATTATAAATAAACAATTTAATTGTTAAATATTTTTATTTAAAAATATCTTAGTCATATTGTTAAAACATTAGCTTAAAAAAAATGCTATTGCGGAAAAATTGCGAAATGGATTGAAAACTTATTAAATAGTTTTATAATCATATATAATTAAT